GCTCCATTCTCTCATATTTCTGATTTCTTATATCAGTGTGATCCACACTTTCTATTATCTTAGTACCATTATATGTTCAATACACTTTCTATTATCTTAGTACCATTATATGTTCAACACACTTTCTATTATCTTAGTACCATTATATGTTCAATACACTTTCTATTATCTTAGTACCATTATATGTTCAATACACTTTCTTTTTTCGTACCCTTGGTTTTTCTATGTCTAATTTAGACCATAATTGTAACCTACTTGGAGTATATATAAGTTTATATAAAATATTAAAAAACCTGCGTCCGTTATCACTAGTATAAAGTTTTCAGAAAGTTATTTCAATAACCATATGGTGTCACATCTGTCTCGAAGTTTGTTTGTTTGTTTCTTTACTTAAAATTCTTAATTTTACTTTAAACTTCAAAAATCGGTACAATTCAATTTACATCAATATCACAAAAGGGTTATCTGCAGCCCAAAGTTTGAAGTGACAGACTAGAGGTAAGGCAGTTAGTCACCACTACCTACCGTCAACTCTTGAGCTACGTTAATTAAAATTTGGATTTTACTGTCAATCCTATAACGCACACACACTGTCATAAAGTGCGGAGCGCGATTGTTATTATTATTTTGCTGTTACATAGCACGAACCTCGAAGTCACAATCCGGCACGCTTACCACTGAACTCTTCTCGGCGCAAATATATCGGCAAAGAATTACGTCATTTTTTAATTAACTATCTTATTTATATGTATTTTAGCTGTAACTACTTAAATATGATGACATGCTGAATGAATGAGCCTGATGTCAAGTGAATTTATTCGTAGTTTTCTTTAAACACTAAGAGCAACGTCTTATAATTTTTTTTAGCTCAAAAATGCTGCCGCCAACGTTCTGCGAGAGACATGGTTTATTTATAAAAACACAAAACTTGTTAAACGAGTCAGTGCATCAAAAGTTCGGACACACCAGAGAAAATTCCTCTTGGCAATTTACAGGTGAGCCAAATAAATAATCAAACTTTTAAAAGAGATTATTGAATTGTAAGACAATATAAGCGCCCTCTATTAGAATATATTGTAAGTAAATGTTTTATTTTAGATGGCAGCTGTACAATATCCTGCTGTACACTTTTTTGTCTCTGATAGTGTTCAAAGCGCAAGTAGCAGAGATTCTGTAAAAATAATTTTAAAACCACATCAAACTTAGAGTATTTTAATTGTCTTTTAACTTTTTGAAACATCTGTGGTTTATTTGGATACAAGTATATTGAACTTATATTTTACCAAAATTTAGCTCCCAAACATGTTTGTTAACAAGAGCTATATTTTACGTAATACGATTAACATTTTTGGCATAATTTGAAATATCAGTATACGTTTTAAAATATGTGATGTTATCAAATCTATTTACAATACAGAAAACATGACAAGATAGCCTTCAGGACATACTAGGTTTCAGTACTTTTTTGTTTCAAGTGTTAACTGAAAGTTAAGACTATAGTGACAGGTGTATTTTATTAGAGGTTTTAATATATTGATTTATTTGTTTTATGTTCCTTTTACAACAAAAATGGGTCGTCATAAATTGATTAAAACTATCAACAAAGTCAATATGCATTTTTTTATCCACATATAAAGATTGTAAGAAGCTTTGAGGTTGCACTGGCAAATTAAATGGGCATTTCTGTATATACAACAGTGTTTTATTGTTTGTAATGTTTCAGGCAACTTTCATAACAACATACCCCATTTAAACATTATGTATCATTATGAACAGTTTCTATACGTTTCACATAAACTTGCAGCAGTTACTGGTGGTTGTTTTTTTTATTACTTTTTGTGGAACATAGGGGGTTTATTAATAACTTTGTGTTAAACTCAATGACAATATATTTAAATCTTAATACTCCTTTCACGAGAACGCAAGATCACCTTAGAGAAAGTAGCGCCTCTGGGTGTTAAATCTATGAATACTGAAGCATAAAAATGTATCGCAGTTTCGAAATACTGTTGAATAAAGACAGTACATCAATAATTTATTTAAAGTATTACTACTGTCTACCGATGGAACGTATAGAAAATTAACCTTGCAAGTTCAAAAATGTCTAAAAATTGTCTTCAGCTGAACATTAAGTTAAATGTATACAATATGTATAAGTACAACCGAAGTTTAAAAAAATAATATTATGTATGTTTTTACAGTCTTAGAAAAGTGAAAATCGATCAGCGGAAGCTGCTGGACAATTCATCAACGATCACGGATATGGCAAAGGTATCAATAGGTTCTCGGATATATAGTGTACTTTTTCATAACATATGCAGTGCCACGTGACCTAGACTTTTTTATTCTTTTATTATTTTTAAAACAATTCTCAAAGATTATATTTTTAATTAATTTCGCCGACCTTTGCCATGAGCGTCTTTTGATTTACTTTCCAAGCGCTTCAAGGAATCACCTCTAAATCTATCAGATGTTTACTGAGAAAGGTTGCTAGACATTATTTGATTCATCGCATGCTCTATGTAAAACAGTACTCTGTAAATGAAGAGTAAGAAAGACAAAATATGTTCAAATAATATAGAACAATTAAGTTATAAATGGTTTTTAGCCGTGTTTGGATTTTTTTATGCGTAATTTTGTTCAACTTTACATCTTTTGAATAATTTTAATATTTTTCAGTGACCTGAGTCTAAAATCGCTGAAGAATAGATTGAGACAAATAAATAGCAATTTTTAACTTGTGCATATTGCATTTCCTAGAATATACTGTTAATCGTTTAAAATAATATTAATTCAACAATAATACAAAATGAGCATCTGATTCAATTCGTTCCAGTACTTCTAATCAAAACTAAACCTAGAAATCTGCAAAACCAAAAAAATCATTAATTATGGTATTTTCCAATAGAAACATAAGTTAAGGTTTACTGTATGGATGTTTGAAACATAATGTTAATATTATGTTAATTATGTGTCGTTATCCTAACAATATTTCTATGCAAAACTGAAGTAAATGAGGAATAAGATTATAATAATTTATTATGTAAGTCAAGAGTCCAGAGCGGCACATAGTCCAGAAAAGAAAATGAAGAGAACAAGCTTCAGACAAACCCTTGAAGTTTGCGAGCCTTGACCTCAGATGTGAAAGACGGTTATGATATCGTGTCTGCATTTTAATTGGAGTCTTCTGTATTATTTCACGTTTAGTTTCTTTCCGGATTCATGATAATACATTAGTACTTTTCTATATGGCTCGAAAGTTTTACGTTTCTGAAAAGTAGCTTAGAAGAACCTTTCGTTTCACGCTAAATGAAATTTGAATTTTGTTGTTGCTTTTTTTTTACAGACTCAGACTACCGTGCACGAAATTGTTTCCGACATAAGCCAACGGCAGGATATACTGTCAGATCGAGTAACCTCTCTGGAGGAGAAACTAGGTTGTATTCAAGAACAACTTCACTCACTTCCTGAATTAATAACTCAGGCTTTGACAAAACAGCTGATACACAGCGGACAGACTACCCAAACGCTGACCAGTCAGCCGCCGGTTGCTGAAAAAAGAAATGCTTTTCTTCATCCTGATTACGCTGCTTCTTTTGGAACACAAAACATGTGGTCATCACTCACTCTTCCACCAACGCAAACCGGACGTGGGGGCCTTCTTCCACCACTGGTTCCTCGAGCAGGCTCAACGGAGAACTGAAGTATTGTGGTTGCAAGCTGGTTGTGCTGTACTTTTCCAATATATGAGAGATCTTCGTTAACTTTATACACATTCACGCTAGGCTACCCTCTAATGTTCGTAAGACCAATTGAGTTCAACAAACGTGCCTCATAGGCAGATCAAAATGATTTCGTCTAGATCTGTAATTCACGTCGTACTCGAAATTTGTAAATATCAGAGAGATCTGTTAATTCACATAGTGCATAAACCTACAAATGTTTTAGAGAGCTCTTAACTCACGTGTTACACAAAACAACAAATGTATTAGAGGTAAGTTAACTCATATGCTCAGAGCAGTAGTTGTCATAGAGAATTATTAACTCACGTGTTACACAAAACAGTAAATGTACTAGGGCCATGTTAACACACGTCATGCTCAGAGCAGTAGATGTCAAAGAGATCTCTTAACTCACGTGTTACACAAAATACCAAATGTGCTAGGGCCGTGTTATCTCACGCCATCCTCAGAGATGTAGATGTCAAAACTCACGTGTTACACAAAACAGTAAATGTGTTAGGGATATATTAGCACACGTCAAGCTCAGAGCAGTAGATGTCAGAGAGATCTATTAGTTCACGTTGTACTTAAAACCGATACATGTCTACAAATAACAGACAAATAATATCGTGTTCAAATCAAATGTTTTAGATTTTTATTATTCTGGCATACTCAAAAATCTCTACTCAACCCGGAATATCTCATAGAGAATTTTAATTCATGTCTTACTATTGTCATAGCGTTATGTTAATTTGAATGATATTCATACTTAAATAATGTTATAAAAGCTTATTAATTTAACTTGAACTTCAACCGGCAAACATTGTCCATAACTATTAAATCCAAAATCATTATTATGTGTCATCACCAATACTTTCTAGACGTCGTGGTTATCTCAGCCATTCGGCATTGTTGTCCAATAGGATTTGGTCATATACTGACTAAATAGTTAGATTTATTTTGACCAATTACAACATCCTGCATCAAAGTAGTTAGGCGAGTAGCGTCGATCATTGACATCCGCCTGTATAGATCCATTAATCGATATATTTCTAGTAGTGTCTTAATCTGTTTTAAGCTAACAACACAAGTTATCACTAAAACTTATTGTGAGTAGCAGGTTTGTCCAGATTTTTCTTATCCAAAGAAGAGCACCTATCAGTCTTAGAACGATCCATCATCTGCTTCTGCGCTTGTTATACCTCCACTCTAGAAAGACGTAACCAAATTGCCCTTATCGTAGTAAACAGAATAGTCTTATTCTGAGCTATTTCATGCTAATGCATTTATGGCCTAATTCATGTGAGTGACTCGTCCAGTTCTGAACACTCTTTGGACGATATCTGGACAACTGTGTTACCTAGATACATTCTATTTCAATACATGTGTAACAAAATTAGCCATACCTTATCAACCAAATATGTATCGTTTCATCATAAGTATAACACACAATCGATTTATATGTGTTCACCAAACCTTGGTTATTCCAACATATATGTAACAAAATGAGATTCGCTTTATCGACCAGATCACTGGTTTTGTATAGTATAGTACAATAAAGCTAGATCTTTAACTATTCATAACACAACCGAGCTAATCCCATCAACCACATCTGTGCTATTTCAAATTGTTCATAATACAATCAGGCTAGCCTTATCAATCAGACCTTTACTATTCCAGACTTATATAACACAAAAAGGTAAACCCTACTGACTATTTCTGATTTATTCCAACACACTTACAACACAATAAAGGGAGTTTTTTGCTAGATTTGTTTTATCTCAGCATCCTCACATCTTCCCAAATCACCATGCGAGCAGGAATTCTTAGTTATTAGAGAGTTTCTCTACTAGATTTGTTTTATCTTAGCAAACACTTCTTCCCAAGCTACCATGATAGTAGGGATGCTCGGTTATTAGAGAGTTTTTGTACAAGTCACAGTCTATCTTAGCAGCCTGAACTTTTAACAAGTCAATATGCAAGCAGGGAGACTCGGTTATTAGAGTATCTTTACTAGGTTTGTTTTATCTTAGCAACCTCACATCTTCCCAAGCCAACATGCAAGTAGGGAAGCTTGGTTATTAGAGTTTCTCTACTAGATTTGTTTTATCTTAGCAAACACTTCTTCCCAAGCTACCATGATAGTAGGGAGACTCGGTTATTAGAGTATCTTTACTAGATTTGTTTTATCTTAGCAACCTCACATCTTCCCAAGCCAACATGCAAGTAGGGAAGCTTGGTTATGAGAGAGTTTCTCTACCATATTTATTTTATGTTCGCAGACTCATATCTTCCCAAACCACCATGCAAGCAGGGATTCTCGAATAGCATTACTTCTCACACATTTTATCATATTAAGCTGAATTAATTGTCACATTTGAATACTTTCTTAAATTGCCCCTACTTTATTAATTTATTTTAATATCTCATTATCATATACAGATCACAGTTTGTTTGTTTTTTTGCAAAACCTACATGAGTTGTCGGTTCCATAGTTAGCCCATGCATATTAAACAAACCCAATAGATCACGTGACTAAGTAGTGATATCACAGTAATTTATGTAGCAGTGTCACTGTAAAAATGTAAACTTGATCATTCATACTACGACAGATAATGTGTGTTTTAACGTGACGATTCGTGATTTAGATTATTTTATATATTTATTTTATATTATTCTTTTTGTTTAATTGATAAGTTACAGCCATGAAGGATAAGTAACTATAAAAGAAAAACTATTTACACAGACGTTAAACCAAACATGGAATAATTATTAAAAACATAATTACACATTTATGTTTAGAGGACTTAATACTTGAGGTAGACCAATCATCAAAGCTCAACCAATTTAAAATCACTAGGGCCAAATTAAAAACAAACAAACTTAGAACTCAGAAAAGAAGTGCTTCTTGCACAGTAATAAATATTTCTATGACGAAAGAAATATATAAACTATCTCTAAATTCAAGTCCGTTTTACATCGTAATTGTAGTCATTGGTACATGAAAATTAAGTTAATATTTATTTTCTTTTTTACGAAATCTATTATGACAAAATAAGCCAAAAAACATTTACGGAGTTAACCTTGAAAAAACCTAAATAGCTATTACAGCCACAAAAATAATGATAAAATGATGTTGACCATTTTTGTCTTAATCCTGACATATTATTTCAAACTTTAAATATATTTTGGGTGAAAAACCTCCAATCCTAAGGATTTATAAATTTAAAGAAATCTACCTTAGATCATTTTGACACAATTTAGAGGTATAACATCTTATTTGTTGAATATTTTTAAGTTCTCTACATAAGTGATATTATTTGCTTGTTGTTAAGTACAAATCTACACAATGGGCTATCTGATCGATATTCTGACTAAATGTAGAGATATAAGCTTCTATTGTTGTTTTTTAACATTTCTGATTTCTGTAACATACTGTTTCAAACATCACTTAAAAAACTGGTATACAAGGTAATCGACGGTTCATAACTGTAGTCACAGGAGTATCGTTAATACTACTCATACAACAGTGGTTTGTTTCAGCAGTGCAGTGTTGGTGGATAATTTGGTTGTGTAGAACATGATCACACAAAATGTCTTTATCTGTGAAAGAGTACTTAAATATCGAGTTTGATTACTTCCTATATGAGAGAATATTGAACATATAATGGTACTAAGATAATAGAAAGTGTATTGAACATATAATGGTACTAAGATAATAGAAAGTGTATTGAACATATAACGGTACTAAGATAATAGAAAGTGTATTAAACATATAATGGTACTAAGATAATAGAAAGTGTATTGAACATATAATGGTACTAAGATAATAGAAAGTGTATTAAACATATAATGGTACCAAGATAATAGAAAGTGTATTGAACATATAATGGTACTAAGATAATAGAAAGTGTATTGAACATATAATGGTACTAAGATAATAGAAAGTGTATTGAAC